GCACCATTAGGTACATTTTCTTGATTTGCAGGTTCATTAGTAACCTGATCTAAATCGGGATTGGAACTCTGATTCGCCATTGATGAGTTTGCTTCAAATGCTTCAAATCATCAAGATCACGAAAAGAATGAAAAATGAAGAATTGAAAGAACTAACAAGAAAATGGAAATGGCGATCAGAGCTTCAAGTTGAGCTCTGATACCATATTACAATGTGAATAAGATGAAAGAGAAACTTTCATTCTGATGAAAAACTGATAGCGTGAAAAGTCATTAAAAGGTACAAAGTGCCATCCTATATGTACTAGGCACATCAGCTATCTGAAAAGTAAAGAAGCATACATGGCTCACGTGATATGCCTAGCATAACTATCTTCTAACTGAATATTGACAAAGCTAACTAATTAATTTACTACTAACAGAAAGCTAACTTGCTGTTAATAGAAAACTAACAAAACAGAACTAACTGGTACAAAGAGAGCTACTGATACAGAAAGATAAATATACATCCATAGTACCCCCCTCAAGTTGGAAGCTGGATGTTGTGCAACCCCAACTTGGACATAAAGTTATGAAAGGAAGCTGGATGAAGGGCTTTTGTAAATGTATCAACAAGCTGTTGAGTGGTGGAGATAGGCAGGAGGCGAAGAAGACCTGCAACAATTTTCTATTGCATGAGTCTATTATAGACATTATTCAATATTAAGTTACAAATCTCTTATCTATTTTATCTTTTGATTATTTTTTTAATAATTGTGTCGTACAAAATTTTATTTATAAATTTATATCATTTTTTATGAGATAAACAAACCAACTTTTTTTTTCGTCGTGCATACAATATACTACATTCAATAATGGGAAAATATACTCTTATGTAGTAGGAGTTAATTTTTCTCTCCTACACATACATCGATTTTCGTGTTATTTTTTTTTTCTTTTTTTTCTTTTTCTACAGTGGGTGGGTCCCATACATGATTATCTCTATTGCATGAGAGAGTTCTCTCCTATTGCATGAGATTAATAAAGCCATTCAATAATCTTTCCTCTTATATGTACATTCTCCATTCTTCGCTTAACACTCTCACCAAACATTATAATATCCAATATTTTAATCCATTTTTTTATTTCTATCACTTTCTATAAAGTTGTTAAAAAGAAAAAGTATCAATTATTAAATATAAAAATATTTCTGCAGTTAATGCAGATAAATTATCTGCATTTATTTCCAAAACAACGTCGTTTTGGGATTAAAAGATTAGAAAATTATAATTATAAAGACTATAATAACCCTGAAATAAATTAAAATTACAAAAACACCATGGTTTCCGTCCCAAAACGACATCGTATTGGGCTTACTGCAGATTACTTAGCTGCAGTAACTGCAGAAAAGCGAACCCATTTTTAAATATATTTATGTAAAATTTTGTAAGAAAAAAAGTTATTTGTGCTATCATCATTCAAATGTATAGAAATCATATATTGAATTATCGAAAACATTTTTAAAGGAATGGATTAAAATAAATTCTCATGGATTTAAAGTTAAGGCAAAATCAGATTTAGAAATCATAAAATTTATTTTAAGATCAATTACTACATTGTTTGATTTTTTTTATTTTTGATAATTTTTTACATTGCATGTCAACACAATACAAAAGTGAAATGAGAAATTTGTTCTCAGTCGACTAATTTTAAAAATAATATCATATTTGCGTGTTAATCCGCAAATATAAAATTGAACCGTGTTAATTTTACTCCATATTCTTCGTATCATGCCTATTGATGTAGAATCATTTTGCATAATAAGCAACATAATTTTAAAATAGGGATATGTCACATGAATTCACTAATTGAAACCTTTTTAAATATATATATATAGGTAGAATTATTTCTACAGCCGCTTTATGTACAACCCATAACAGGTGTATGATTATGATTTTTCACATTTAATGTTTTCATCTTTTGTATGGTTATGATTTCTCATTTTTAATACTTTCACGTATATATATGTATATATATATATATATATATATATATATATATATGACAAGTATTTGACTGCTGCACGTATAGAAGGTGCAGAAATGTAAACCATATATATATATAAGGGAGGGATCATTTGACTCCAGAGTAAGATTTAAAAGTTTTACTCCTCATCTCAGCCTTTGATTTCCGTCCGGTTATCATTTATTTGAAATTAATAATTAATTAATTGTTGTAACTTATTAAATTATAACCGTTAGATAAACAGAAATCAAGGGCTGAGATGAGGAGTAAGACTTTTAAATCTTACTCTGGAGTCAAAAAATACCTCTCATATATATATATATATATATATATGGGACATGACACCTCATCTGAGGGCCGTTAGATCAAGATAAATCAATAGAGTCACATGTTTACAAATCAAAGTCATTAGGTCAAGGCAAGATCAACGACCCTCAGATGAGGTGTCAAACTTTTTGTTGGATATCAGTGTCAAATGATCCTGTCTATATATGGTAAAATCATTTCTCCAGCTACTTGACATCCAGCAATGACATGTATTTGGTTATGATTCCACACATTTAATATTGTCACTCACCTATATATATGATAAATAATTGACTGCTGAACGTCAAGCGGCTGGAGAAATATAAACTCTTATATATATATATATATATGGGAAAACATTTTCTCCTTCTAAAGGAGAAATTTTTTCTCATGTTAGTAACTCATAATATAAGTGGGTCTCACCTTTAATTTTTTTCTCTTTCCACTATTTTGTGGGACCCACTTATACAATGTGTCACTAACATGAGAAAAAATTTCTCCTTTAAAAGAAGAAAATGTTTTCCCTATATATATATATATAATGAGAAAATCAATTTTCCTGCAATAGGAGAAAAATAATCTCATGTTGGAGATTTAGTTTTTGAAGTGAGTCCCACAACTTGAAAAAATGAAAAAGTAAAATGCTAACACGATTTCTCATGAGTGTGTAGGAGAATTTTCTTTCTTTAGAAGCATAAGAATCGATTCTCCCTTATATAATTTCTTAATGTATTTTTTTAAGAATTTTTCTTTATATTTTTAAGAAAATAATTACAATTAATATTATTATTATTATTATTTTAAAAATCTTATATAATTATAATAATTCTTAAACATGCTTATAATTCAATAATGTATCGGACCCATGTGGGTCTATGTGAGAAGAAGTGAGAGAAAAAGAAAATATGAGTTTCATAAATTTTTATGTGTAAATAAGAGATAAATTTATCTCCTACAACATGTGAAATAATAAACCTTATATATGTATATATATGGGTCCCCAACTTCTTTTTTTGTAGGACAAGAAACTTGTCGTCCAACCAATTAATACTATGTAATACTACTGGTAATATATAGTTATAGGAAATATTTTTCTTATGTTGTTGGAGATGAGTTATCTTATGTTAATGAAACAAAATTATAAAAGAGACCCACAAATAATTGGAACGAAAAAAATAGAGGTGGGACCCACCTTTTCGTGTGTATAAGAATTTGATTTATCTCATGTTGAATAAGATAAATGTAACCCATAGTTATAATATTAAAGTTGATTTTTCTCTCTGCCACGTCAGCCGACAGTTTCTTAAGAGAAAAAAAATTAACTTTAAAATCACAACTATATACTACCTATATAATGTTAACTCATTACAAGAAAAGAAAATTTCTGACCAAATGGTGGTAGCTCAGTTGGCGCATGGGAGCTGAGTAGGTGGAGGTGAGTGCATGTGTTCGAACCTCCCCAGTATCACATTTGGGAGGGGTTTAAAGCCTTAATTCTGGATCCGTCCCGAATCGGACTAGTCGCGAAGCGATGAACCGATGGAATATTTCAAAAAAAGAAAAGAAAATTTCTCCAAGCTATATATATATATGGCAAAATGATTTGTAATATGACTGCATATAAGCATTGGTGCAGTCACTTAAAAACTACGTCATTTTGGTTGGGATAAAAAAAGTTTGCGTTCAAATTTCATTATAGAAAATGAAAATATTATATTTATTTCCACCTTTGTATGGTTATGATTCCTTATATTTAATTCTTTATATTTATTTCCGTCTTTGTATGGTTATGTTTTTCCATATTTAATGCTTTCACACTATAAAACGACGTAGTTTTATATGACTCCACCAATCCTTAGGTGCAGTTAATGTACATCCGTTAAACCATATATATATATATATATATATATATATATATATATATATATATATATGGATTTTATGTTTATCATGTAACATGATATAACATCACTTTCCTACACACACATTAAAGAGGTGAGGTCCACATGTTTTTCTTTCTCTTTCATCATTCCACTTTCTCTCTCCATTTTTGTGTGTGTTGAAAACAACACTTAAATCATGTAACATAACACTAATAAAATCCTATATATATATATATATATATATATATATATATATATATATATATTATACAAACACATAAATAATCAAATCCAGAGTTTATTTTTTTAACGCTATGTGATCCTATCAATCTAATCCCGCATTTACTATTGGACAATGGATATGTGATCAAAATAAGGCAAACACGAAGATCAATTCAGTATTTATTTGGATTTGTTTGACTGAGATTTTTTTTTGTTAACAAACAACTTTTAAAAATAAATAAATAAACGATGGTGATTATACTTATTATTATTTTATGTTTATTACTCTTATTAACTGATTGATTATCGTTAAATTAATTTGAAAGCAATGATTAAAAAATAAAAAAATTAACTGCAACTAATCTCTAATTACTATCGTACCCAATTAAGATTAAGAATAATAAGCTTAAAATGTAATAAGTATAACCTTCCCAAAAATAGTAATAATTTTTTATTTTATATGTGTATTTTGCCAAGAAACAGTGTCCGTTTGCATGGAATTTAAAAAAAAAAAAAAACAAATACATCCAAAGGGATTATAAGGATCCAATCCAACATATCCCCTATAATTTATAAACGTTCATACAAAAATAATAATAATAAGAAAACGGGATTTTCTGGTCACTGTCCTTGCCACGTCATCAGTAACGTGTTAAAACCACTTCTTCTTTGTGCTATTTCTCGCCGGCGAACGTTTCTGCTCATCTTTTTTTCTTTTCAGAGTTCTCTCTCTCTCTCTCTCTCTCTCTCTCTCTCTCTCTGTGCTTGTACTTGTCGTTCTCTTTCTTTCTCTTTATTTTTTTAGTTATTACAAATTCGCATCGAACAAAGGGTAACCCTCGTGGTAACGACTCTCTCTGATTGGTTACAAGGAATGATGCAGGTTCTGGTGGGACCCACTTTCACCGTAGACGTTCAGTCGTCTCCGCCGCCACCGACGCTGGTGATGGGCTACGCCGGAGAGAATCCAAGCAACGACGCCGTCGAACGCGCGGTTCCATTGCCCCTTTTCGACGGCGAGTCATCGGAGAGCTCGTCGTCAATCGGAACGCCGGACGACAGCGAGGACGAAAACGACGACGTGTCGTCGAAAAGAGAGAATAACGAAGAAGAAGAAGAGGTTCAAAGCAAGTTGAAGAAGGGTTTGAACTCTTTGGATTCTTTAGAAGACTCTCTTCCAATCAAGTTAGTTCCTTTTTTTATTAATTCATTTATGTTAAGTTTTTTCTGTTATAATAGTTATTGAGAAAGTTAATAAAAGCATAGTAACAAACAAAACTTTGTTCTTTTTTTATGTTGTAATTGGTGTTTGTGTTTGTCTTATGTTTTGTTTTGTTTTTTTTTTGTTTTTTTTTTTAACTTTGATTTTAATTCTGATATGGGTATGTGGGTTTATTTGTAAGCGATGCAGGAGGGGATTATCGAATCATTTCATAGGGAAATCAAAGTCATTCACGGATTTATCCCAAGTGAACACAGTGAAGGAACTAGAGAAGCAAGAGAACCCTTTCAATAAGAGAAGAAGGGTTCTCATTGCATCCAAGTTGTCAAGAAAATCCTCTTTCTATACCTGGTCAAACCCCAAATCAATGCCTCTTTTACCTCTCAATGAGGATGAAGATGATGATTATTATGAACCAGACAATGCCACAAAAGTGTCTCCTTCTCAAAATCAAGTTCAGCTGAGACAGCATAACAGAATAGTACCTCACTCTTATGCTTCTCATATGAAGCTTAGACTAAGAAGCTTTAAGTCAAGAAGCCTTTCTCTCGCAGATCTGCAAGAACATGACGAGGACGAGGACGAGGAAGTGGAAGTGGAAGAATTAGATAATATTGATTAGGTTAAAATATTTTGTGTCTATATTGGAACTCTTATTTTTAATTTGCTCTTTGTACAAAAATTAGAATAAATTGTTATCTTTGATGGTGTTAGTAAACTATAGTAAAAATCTTATCTTTTTATCTGGGTTAGATATTAGAACTTTAGAAAATGAAATTTTGGACTTGAGGATATCATGTGGATCTATAAAATAATAAAAGTAACGAAAGCTTGATATAATGACATGAGGAAGAAGGGGTGCCTCATTTTGTCAGATTGGATATGGATATTGGAATTATATTCGTAAGAAAGAGAAAGAAAGACAACCAATTGTGGCAATAACATCAAATAACATGACAATTTTGAGACTAGAGGGAATGAATGTTCAGCTTAGCTTTTGATAGTTATTTTATTTTATTTTTTTGTTCTCTCGAAATTGTGGCTAGGAGTTGTTCAATGGTCATGGAAACCGTGGTCAGTAGGTCCAGGATTCTGGACGAATCTTGGACAGATCTTATCCTATCTTTTTGTATATTGACATTAGAAGAGAATTTGGATTGTCTCACCTTACTTAACATAATTTTGTTCTATTATGAATAGGGTTTAACTTTTAATGCAGAAAATATGTCCCATTATCATAAAAGCAAATGGTTCCCACAAATTTCTTCTTTCTCTCTCTTTTTTTTTATATAATAATAACACTTATTTTTATGTGAATATAATAGAGAAATATTTTCTACAATAAAAAAAATAAAAATAAAAATATTTTTCTCTTATGAATATATAAACATGGGATGTATTACTTTATTTATCTTATTTATTCATTTTCAATGTTATTGAATCAAAATTTTAAGCGTAAATATCCTTTTGGGTCTCTAACAAAAAATATGATCCCCACTTTAGTCTCTTACAAAAAAAATTAGTCAGGTCGTCCCTAACAAATTCAAAGTGGACCCATTTTAATCGGACTAATATGGGTCTTTTTTAAAATTGTGAGGGACCACGATTTCAACTAAATAAGTCCACTTTAAATTTGTTAGGGATCAACTGACTAATTTTTTTTTGTAAAAGATTAAAGTGGGGATCCTATTTTTTTGTTAGGGGACCAAAAATAGTATTTACTCAAATTTTAATAGGAGAAAAAAAAATTGAGATTCTGGTTCAACGATAAAATAGATAAAAAAGGATAGAATATCCTATTCTTAAAAACATATATACACACTTAAGGTAAGATCTATCATTATTATGTGTAAAAGAAATGTAATTTTATTTATATAGTTGTATATTAAAGTAGCCATGGGTTGCTAGGTGCATCCCTGGACTGTCTGTAGTGCAAAGAATAAGAATAAAAATTGAAGAGTGTAGGGTTGTCCTACTTAGGCATTTAATTGGTGTTGGTTTGTTGTAGTAGCCAGATTGGTTAACGAGATGAGATGTGTCAGGCTCTGACTTTTCGTGAATCCAACTCACAAAATAATATCCATTCAATTTCCTGCAATTATAACTGTGGGCCGCTGCTCTATTCTATCCTCTACCGCAAAGTTACTTTCAAATTAAATAATAATAATAATTCGATGCATTATCAAATTTTATTTTGTCATTATCTGATTATACTTGTAGATAATAATTTTGTTGTATTATCGAAATTTGAAAATAGAACGAAAGGAAATCCAACCATATGGTTTGGGTATAAGGAATATTTAGAACACCTAAAAAGAAAACATGATTCAAATGCGTCCACTCGTTAGCATGGTGCACAAGCTTGAAACACCGTATAAAGTTCCACTCATTCGGATGAAACTGTGATAAAGTCCATGTGAAACACCACATAAATTGCAAGAAGATTCAAAATGTCCCTTTACATTGACTAACGCACAACCATCTCTTCGAACAGGCATTCTGACAAATGTAATGTGAAATTAGAGATATTTCGCCCGATTAATTCTTTTGTACATTACTCCATGCGTGATTTATATAAAATGCGAGATGCATATCTTGTTATTGCACATTTAAGTTAAACATGTCTCACATGCGCATCTTGCATAAAGTGACACATGACAAATATATTTGGACTTTTGCATAAGCCTCGCATATGAGATGATGCGCAATTTAAATGTGCATATTTTATATGTGCATTTCATTCACATTAGATTAATAAATAGTTTGCCAAAATAATTAATCCTATGAAATGTCTCTGATTTTGCATTACATTAGCCAAAAAGCTTTACGAATCTCATTCCCGTCGTGAGTCATCACACAAGCACAATAATCGATAAAATTAGGGTTGGACAACCATCACACACAACTATCAATAAGAATCAAAAAGATAATAAATAAATTCGGAAGACAATTAGGATATTTCCATGGTATATATGGATAAAAATGTGGGATTAATGCACTAAAGATAAAAAAGAAATTAAATATGGAAAAGTTTTGATGATATTAAATAAACATGGAAAGAAGACTTCAAGAATATTAGAACTTGCAACAATCAAAAGGAAGCATAAGAAAGACAAGTCAACATCTCAACAATTGAATAATCCATCAAGATTTATGACTAAGCTTGATAATAGCCATATAAGGCCCACGGCCCATCAGTTAGAATAAGCCCATTGAATCAGCTCAAATGTCAACATATATATATTTGAATCAGTAGTCTATTGTAATAAGATACATTACATTTTCAATATACAAAAGAATTATTCAGTTACATTTCTCTTCAAGATCTTTCATTCTCTCTCTTTGTTTCTCACATGGTATCACAGAGCTAAAAGATCCATGGACAAATCACGCGCTCAAACCTCTGTTCAATCTTTCTCCAACCCAGTCTCATTCAAACTCGATGAAGACAATTTCTTGCCCTGGAAACAACAGGCTCTTGCCACCATCAGAGGCTACAATCTTGATCGCTTCATTGTTGGGGAACTTCCAACGAAACCTGCAGCAAAAGAAAGCTCATCAACAAGTTCAGAGAAAGAAAAAGAAAAGGAACCAATAGACAAAGACACTATTGCTGATCAAGAAACCTCAAGATCCATTGAAATTCAACAAGATCAACTGCTACTATCTTGGCTCCTATCTTCTATGTCCGAAACAGTCTACACAAGAATGGTGGGCTGCCAGACTTCCTTTCAAATCTGGACAAAACTAGAAGAATTCTTTACATCACACACTAGAGCCCGTGTCAAACAATTGAAAACTCAATTGAAAAACAACAGAAAAGAAGGACCAGCATCAACATACCTACTTCAGATCAAAAAGGTTATTGATTCTATAGCAGCAACTGGATCACCTATCAGCACTGAAGATCACATTGAAGCTATCTTGGATGGCTTTAATGAAGACTATGACAATTTTGTCACCTCCATCACTTCAAGAACCGATGCCTACACAGTAGGAGAAATTGAGGCCCTCCTCATGGCTCAAGAACAACGTATTGAGCAACACAGAGTTCGTGAAACCACGACTCTACAAGCCAATATGGCCCAAATGCAATTTCGCAAACCTTACAACGCCTCTAATTTTAATAGAGGCAGCTTCCCTTCAAACAGAGGTGGAAGGTACACTAGAGGACGATTCTCAAGAGGAGCAGGAGGACGCACTCCCACCTATCGTCCCTCCTGTCAAGTCTGTGGCAAGCCAGGTCACCAAGCATGGGAATGCTTTCACCGGTACAATCAGAACTATCAAAATCCCTTCACTCAAACCAACAACAACACCAACAGTCACTCCAATCTTCAAGCCAACATGACTGTCACCAAATACCCTGGCCCCATACAACATGATGAAGACAACTCCTCTGATTTCTTCTCCACAACAGATTCCAATTGGTACCCAGATTCTGGTTCAACCAATCACTTTACTCCAGACTCCAACAATCTACTCAACAAGACTCCTTATTCTGGTCAAGATTCGGTGCAAGTTGGTAATGGTTCAAACCTGAAAATACAAAACACAGGTTATTCTTTTCTTCATTCAAATGTCAATTCATTAAGATTTACTCTTACTAACCTTCTTCATGTTCCTGGTTTGACAAAGAATCTATTAAGTGTGTCTGAATTTGCCAATGATCATGATGTCTATTTTGAATTTCATGCTAATAATTGCTGCATCAAATCACAGGCTACTCAGGAGATCCTTCTCCAAGGCAGAATTGAAAATGGGCTCTATGTCTTCGATGGATCTAATCTGTCCAAGCAATCTAACATCTCCAATTTAGCTATTACACCTGCTCAATTAGATACACACAATACTATTACTTGTAATCACACTACCAGCACTATCAATTTAAATCTTTGGCACCAACGCTTAGCACATGCTGCCTTTCCTATTGCAAAATCTGTACTTAGAAAATGCAACATTCCTTTTATAAATAAAACAGAGTCCAATCTATGTTCAGCATGTTGCATGGCCAAAATGCATCAATTACATTTACCTGTTACTGCTACAATATATTCTTCTCCTTTAGAACTTGTTCTCTCAGATATATGGGGACCAGCTCCCATTGAAAGCACTTCAAGAGCACGCTACTACATTCTCTTTGTTGATGCATACTCCAACTACTCTTGGATCTATCCAATGACAAACAAATCACAGGCTTTCAACATCTTCTTACAATTTAAGACTATGGCAGAACTACAATTAAATACAAAAGTCAGAAACTTCCAGACAGATAATGCCAAGGAATATCTCAAGTTTGGTTCTTACCTTAAAGAGCAAGGTATCATCCACAGACTGTCTTGCCCCTATACCCATCAACAAAATGGGAAACCTGAAAGGAAACACAGGCATATAGTTGAAACAGGGTTAGCTATTCTTGCTCACTCTCACCTTCCCACTAAATTTTGGGAGGATGCTTTTCTCACTGCTACTTTCACCATCAACCAACTACCTACCCCCACATTACAAAATCAATCACCCTATGAAACTCTCTTCCACAAATCACCTGACTACCATTTTCTCAAAACTTTTGGTTGTGCCTGCTACCCTTACCTACGACCATACAATAAAAATAAGATTGACTTCAGATCCACCAAATGTACTTTCATTGGCTACAGCACCAAACACAAAGGCTACAAATGCCTCTCCCCCACTAACCAACTCATCATAGCCAGACATGTCCTCTTTGATGAGGTTGACTTTCCTTACAGCAAAAACATCACATCTATCTCCACTAACCCACCTACTCAATCATCAACCCCTAATATACCCACTATTCCCATTCATATCACTCAACCTGCTAGTGCAACTCCTCCAACCTCCCCTCCTACTACACCAAACACTGCCCAACACAGATCCCCCAACACATCTTCTCCACAATCTAATCCCACCACTGTTTCTGTTCATCCCATGATTACAAGGGCCAAAGCAGGGATTTTCAAACATAAAGCCTACACAACTAACCTTGAACCCACCACTGCCACACAAGCCATGGCCCAACCCCATTGGCTCCAAGCTATGACAGATGAATATAATGCTCTTCTCAACAACAATACATGGAAACTTGTTCCCCTACCACCAGACAGAACTCCCATTGGCTGCAAATGGATTTTTCGCACCAAATACAATCCAGATGGTTCAATTCTTAAATACAAGGCTAGGTTAGTAGCCAAGGGGTTTCACCAACAAGAGGGTTTTGACTATCAGGAAACTTTTAGTCCTGTAGTCAAACCAGTTACCATTCGGATTATCATCTCTGTTGCAATCTCCAAAGTATGGCCCATACACCAACTGGATGTCAACAACACATTTCTCAATGGTGATTTACACGAAGAAGTCTTCATGCAACAACCACCAGGATTTGTTCACACGGACAAAACCCTGGTGTGTCACCTGACAAAGGCCCTATATGGACTCAAACAGGCACCAAGGGCCTGGTTCCAGAAACTCAGTAACACCCTACACACTCTTGGCTTCACTACTGCCAAATGTGACTATTCACTATTTATATCTATCACTAACACCAGTACTACTTTCATCTTGGTTTATGTCGATGACATACTCATAACAGGTTCATCCTCACAAGTGATTACAAATATCATTCAGTCTCTCCACACCACATTTGCCCTCAAAGACCTCGGTCAACTACACTACTTCCTCGGAATTGAGGCCACTAAAACCACTACAGGAGGATACCATCTTCATCAAACAAAATATATACAAGATCTTATACAGAGAGCAAAAATGGGAAACTGCAAACCTGTTCCTTCTCCCATGGCCTCCAGCATCAAACTCACCTCCACAGATGGATCCACACATCCTGACCCCACGGAGTATCGCTCCATAGTAGGAGCCCTCCAATATGCCACCATAACCCGCCCCGATATCACCTTCAGCGTCAACAAGGTCTGTCAATACATGCACCACCCCCTGGACACTCACTGGAAGGCTGTAAAACGTATTCTCCGCTATCTCAACGGCACCACCTCGCATGGCCTCACCATTCATCCGTCAGAAAATTTTCACCTCACCGCGTACTGTGACTCTGACTGGGCCTCCGATCTTGATGACAGACGATCAACAAGCGGCATCTGTATTTTTTTCGGCTCCAATCTCGTCAACTGGTCCTCGAAAAAGCAAACGGTGGTCAGTCGATCCAGCACCGAAGCGGAATATCGCTCTCTCGCATCTACGATTGCAGAACTCTCTTGGACAAAATCACTGCTTTCAGAAATTCAAGTCCCTCTTCCGCGATCCCCAACCATTTATTGCGATAATCTCTCCACGGTTCAACTATCTGCCAACCCCGTGTTTCACTCACGCACAAAGCATTTTGACCTAGATCTACATTTCGTCCGTGAACAGGTGGTCAGCAAGGCAGTCTCGGTTCATCACATACCAGCGGTGGACCAAATAGCCGATGGGCTCACCAAGCCCTTGTCAAGGCCCAATTTTCTGGATTTCAAATTTAAGCTTCATGTGTTGGAGCCCCAAACCACACTTCAGCTTAAAGGGGGGTAATAGCCATATAAGGCCCACGGCCCATCAGTTAGAATAAGCCCATTGAATCAGCTCAAATGTCAACATATATATATTTGAATCAGTAGTCTATTGTAATAAGATACATTACATTTTCAATATACAAAAGAATTATTCAGTTACATTTCTCTTCAAGATCTTTCATTCTCTCTCTTTGTTTCTCACACTTGAAGGAGATCAAAACTCAACCAACAATGGAAGAAATTAAGTGTAAAAACCTACAAGTAATAGAACCATAATCTTGGTGGTTGGAGTGGTTTGTTCAAGCACTCTAACTTTGATCAATTGGAAAATCATCATGACAATTGCAATCTGGACTTAGGTTACGGTATTGTGATTGAATTATGATAAACTGAGTTTGCATTCTCTTTATCTTATATCTCTTTTACATAAACATTCATAACACTGTTTAGCATATTTAACTTGATTTAGTTGCTAAGTATCACCTTTTTTTTATCTTAAATCAAAGTATTACAAAATATTAATTTTGCAAAAAAAATTGAGATATTTTGTGAAAAAAATTAATCACAACCATTCATTAATCATTAATTATGAGATAAGAGAGAGAAAAATATGTGATTCTTAAATGAATAATTATAATCAAATAATATAATCAATTTTACATGAAAATATGTATCGCATATCTCTGCGGTGATATACATGCGTTAAGGGTAAATGACCGTATCAAGATTTGAAAAGAACATCCTAAGGTGTGGGGTGTGGGCTCGCCGCTGCTTGTCGATGCTTTGGAGTTTGGTCATATTCCATCTGACATTAATTTCTTCTGCTTTGTTTTCTTAATTTCATGTAAGCCAAAAAAACTTTTTGAAATAATAATAGAGGAGAAACATTTTTACTATCAAAATTTTTCACTACTAACTTTTTATCTATCTAATCATCATTAGATTAAAATTTTCTCTCTCTTCAAATTTTTTTTAACATTATCTCTCTTTGATCCAATGGTGATGTGATGGGTAGTAAGTTAGTAATAAAATTTTTTGGTAGTTAGAATATGCTTACTCATAATAATAATGGGTTCATTTTTTCTACAGTTAATATAGATAAGTTATTTACATTGAGCCAAATACATATCGTTTTGGGACAGAAATCAAGGTATTTTTGCAATTATAATTTATTTTAGGATTATTATAGTCTTTTTTATTATAATTTTTTTATTTTTCAACTTAAAAGGACGTAGTTTTAGAAGTGAATGTAGATAACTTATTTACCTTCACCGTAGAAACATTAAAGTCAATAATAATAATAAAATACTGTTTTAGGATTTAAAATAGGAAAACTTATTTGTCCTTCTAGAGAAAATAATATTGTATCATTTTAATTAAAATTATTGCGTTTTGTGACGAGAGTGATGATTACATAATGAAAGTTCGTTGTGAAGAAAGTGAGAGGTTATTCAAAGATTTTTTTTTTAAATTTAAATATTGAGTAAAACACCACTGTTATAGTTATTGAATAAAACTAAAATCATAAATTATTCATTACGATCTATGAAACACCGACACTTCGAAAACTCTGATGTGTCGTGGCCGACACTCCGACACGCATTATAAAAATTCAAAAAAATGTTCAAAGGTTGCGTTGCGTTGAGTTTTTAGTTCCAACTATTAGATTCGTTGGATTACGATTACCATTTTATTGAGTTTAATATAAATATTTAGGATATCTTATGTTTCTTTGCAAAATTGATGGATATTATAAGTTTAGTTTCATTTTTTTGTTAAATTATTGAATATTAAATATAATATACACTACATAAATTAAAAAAATTATTTAATATCAAAACGTGTCCTAACGTGTCGAAATCTAACATTTTTTAGAATTAACGTGTCGGAGTGTCGTGTCGGAGTGTCGTGTCGTATCGTGTCACGGGTCCCGTGTCAGTATCGGTACTACATAGATCACGGTTAATTTCGTATGTTTAGTTATTGAGTAAAACACTACATAATAAAATATCGGAAAAATATTTCTCCAGACACGACACTGGAGATAAAGTCATTATTGTAAGATTAAAAAAATATAATGATAAAGACTAATATAACACTGTAATAAATTAAAATTACAAAAACAATTTATTTCCATCACAAAACAACGTCATTTTAGCCTAACTGGAGATATTTATCTCCATTGACTGCAGAAATTCTTTGCCCATAAAATATTGCGTCGTTCAAATTAAAACGACATTATTTTATGATGAGAGAGATTTATTATTATTATTATTAAGTAAAATACTACTTGACTTAAAATGATAATATTCTACTTTTAAAAAGGGCAAATATTTTTTATCAAAAAAAGGAAAAATTAATCATCACGGTTAATTTCGTATGTTTAGTTTTCTTTGTTTCCTCTATTGGTAAGAGATTTCAATAGCTGATCATAAGCTGGAAACTAGTGTTACCATTGTATCCAAAAGAAAATAATTTTTTATAATATATAAACAAATAAAAAACAAACAAAAACATTTTAATGCTTTTATGAAATTAAATATAATTGATTTAAAAAAATACACCCTCAATTTTGCAATGAAACCCAATTTTATTTACTTTTGATTTATTTATTTCAGTCATTACACATCTTCTACGTATGCATAAAAGTATATAAAACAAGTGAGGTCATATAGAGAAAAGAGAACGAAAAAGAAAACATGGACTAAATTATATTAACATACAATTCGTTCACTTGAAAGTATTATACGGCTTTAAAACATCACAACACCAAGCCGGCAAAAGTCTACTGTAAATTACTAACTCTAAATCGTCTACAATGAATTATAGAAACAAAAAGCACTCATTCCCCACTGGAATTACTATTTATAATAAACCAACACAACCAAGATGTGAATTGAGGCATAATCAGCTCAGCTGATGATAAAAAGGTCAGTGGTAGCAAATGCAAATGAAAATTATTTGGCAGCTCAAATCAATCCCCATGGATGGTATAACGTTCCCATTTCCTCGTTGGATCATATATCTGCAAAGGACAAAAAATATAATCAGAACCAGAAGCTATGTAAGAAGCTAATACACATATTAAGCACTCCAATCTGAACAGACTGTTAATAAAATAAATATGCCAGTACAGAAGATCCTATGTGTAATAGAAATTTATCAAACACCTGTACAAGAGAGAAAGAAAGAAAGACCAGCAAGTGGACTATGCACACAGAAGAGGCAAAAGGATAGAGAGAGAGAGAGAGAGAGTACCTCCCATCTTGATGCAGGAAATATATGCTTGTTCTTTTCATACCAGTGCCTTTCTACAACCTTCCCAGCATGAGACTGTTGATTGAGATAGGAACACCAGAGTAAGATAATTAAACAAGAAACCAGAAGACAAGTTTACTATAACACCCAAAGACAAACATGCATATGCCTTGTTTTCACTATCTTGCATAGTTAGAGGTGACATTATGGATTTGAACCAAACGGATCAATCCACCAACCCACAAAAAAGGGACGGGTTGGGTTACACATCCTAACCCACTAACCCGTCTTAACCCGTCCCGCTGGGTTGTGGGTTAAAACAGGTTAGGGATAGGTCGAGGCAAGTTGGCCCGCCGAGTCAGTTTTATTTTTTTAACTATTAGGTAATATTTTGTTTGGATTTAGTGTTTGTCATTTTAAATGACATAAGTTATGTCATTTTAAGAGAGAGATAGACACAAGAAAAGAAAATCATAGGAGAGAAAGTGGGTAAAATAAAAAATATTTTTTTGTGTCTATCTCTCTCTTAAAATGACATAACTTTATGTCATTTAAAATGACAAACACTTTTCCCTATTTTATTTGTTACTAAACTTTTGTGATGTCTAATTTTTTTATCTCAGTACTCCCCTAGAAAAAATAAAGAAAAAAAACTTTATTTATGACAAAGGTTATCCATATGTGAAGGCAAAAATAAGTTCCTAAACAATGTTTGATTGAATATTAGCATACATGTAACCTTGAGATAGGAAAAAAACTAAGGTGAGTGTTAAATAAAAATAAGTAATATTATAAAATTCATAAAATATATTTATTTTAATTTTTTTTTATTTTTTAGGCTGTTTGACTTGTCAACCCACCATAAAACGGTACGGATTGGGTATTTCAATCCACATTCAACAGGCAAGGCGAGGCGGGCCAACCCGTTTTTGGTGAGTTGACAGCGGGTCGGGACGGACCGACCCATTTTACCACTGCTCCAGGAAACATAGCCTAGACAAACAATCATCATAAATGTTAAGGACTAATTAATAAGCCAATAACAGAGGGATGTGAAGTGCAAATACACAACACAGAAAAAAGAAAAAGGAACAGTCCATAGGAGGTCCAAATCTGCCAAAACGAAACAGAAGCAGAAAGGAAGGTGATCCACTGGAGAGTGGAAACATGTATTCAACGAACAGAAGGGGAGTGAGAGAGGAGGAGGATTAGGATCAAACCCTAAGGCGAGTGGGAGACACAATGGAAATGATAAAACCCCCCCTAAAAACTAGGTTAGTGGCAATTTGCCATGATTGGGAGAGCCGTGATGTCAAAAGGAGATGTGACAGCCTGTGTATCACAAGGGGGTGCCGCAATAATGCCATGAACCGGCATAATTAACTACTCTGTTATCTGCTAAACTTAATTTCAAAATAGCATTAGTTAGGATTAGGTAGAAGATATACCTCATCCTTCTCAATAGTGGCATCAGCAATTGTTCGTACATCCTCATGCACATCAAAATGAAAAAGCTGTATCATAGAAAAACAATAACTAACGTCAATTCTGCAAATCATTACAGGATAATAAGGAAAGAAATGATATTTAGGGCAGAGATAATTCAGATCAAATGCAATCTTAAAGCAATAACAATATAAACACCATCAGCAACATCAAAGCATTATAGATCGCATGAAAAAACCAACTTAAATTGTCACATATTCTCTCAATGCATTAGTATCAAAATAATTTCTCTTTAAATCAATTTACATTATTAAGAAAACAAGAGTGTCTAAAACACTTCTCCACGCAGGAGGAAATCCAGCTAGTCCTAAAAAATGAATGTTCTAATCTAAACCCTTCATGGTTTAGTTCATTATAGATGATCTGAAATGAAAATTTATAGTTCAATGGATATTTGTTTTTACTTGGTATCCCTATAACTTTGGAGGGGCCTCAATCCTAACTAAGCTCTACCCCTGACCATTACGAAATTGATTAAATTATTAACAATTATAGACACACCTCATGAAAGAGAAGAAACACAATAAAAAAGTAAGAAAAATAAAAGAAACATACTGGTCCACTTTTGCCTCTAGCTTTGTTCACGATTAGCTCATAGAAACTGTGTTGCTGTAATATACATGGAAATGGGTAAATAAGTTAGCAGATATCCTTTTATTAAAAAAAATATATTAACATATCTTATGTGTGTGTGTGAGTGGGTGTGTAAGATAGCAAGTTGTACACAGACTTTCTGAAATTATAAATTTATAACCAATTAAATATTCATACATGAGGAATGATAAGGTCTTCTTTCACATATAGCAAATTTTCCACTGAGGTTGTTCGAATCTCTCGAAATTCTGGAGCAAGTTGCTGCTGGACTGCTCGAAGAAACTCTCCTATGGTGTCGCCCTTGCGTACCTGAATCATATTATATATGGCTTCAGACATCAAGACATAGTATTATATAGTAAATGCATAATTGTTTAGGAACTTAAAAAGTAAGTTGAAGCATATGGTTTTACTTGCCTGGATCACACGCCTGTGGCCAGTTCCATCCCAGTAGCTGTATGTGATTTGAAGAGGTTCATCTGAAGCCCAGGAACAATTTAATTAAGCATGAACTTTTACATGGTTATAAGTGTTTTGTGCATCAGCTAAGATATGCCCAAGAGGCATTTAAGCATAATTTGTTCCCTATTCCATAAGCTATACTTTTTAACCCTTTATCATTTTCTTAAACGGAGTCAAAAGGAAAAGCAATAATAAAGGAGTCCGAGGACTTACTTTGAATTTGTTCCTGCTCACGCAGCCACTGTCTCCGCAGCCTTTCACGCTCAGCTTGCTCCTCAGCCTCTCGCTCACTAAACAGAATCCTCAGCACTCCTATGCCGAACGTTAGGGCAAAAACCAATAAAGAATGGACAGGGGTATTGGGGGGAAGGGAGGTAAATAAAAACAAGAGAAAAGGAAAAGAGAGAGTAATCACACCTGTCAGGTAGAAAGCTAGTTTCAACAGTAGGGTCTTTGCCAAGTTTACCACGTAGTAATCTATTTGTTTCCAGATTCTCTGCCAACAGCATAGCAAAGTTTAATGTTATCATTCATGGGTATAAAGATGGAACTAGCTAAAAGAAGAGAAAATACATTTTAAAAGTCCCTTCAACGTTTTCTAGAAAACAATGTACTAACAAAACTGATCATTCACAACTCTCTATTAAAACAGTTTGGCAACATTCCAATACATGGATAAATGAACAAAAACTATCATTTCAAACAGGAATATGAAAGGTAAGCAGAGTAGCGGCAAAAGTAGTTACCATTTTGTGGTTCCTCCTCCTCCTCTTCACCGTCATTGTCAATATCCTCAACAAATGACAATCGAGAAATGCCCTTTATCTTCCTCTTTTTACGCTTTTCTAATTGAAGCTCCTCCTCCCTGTTTAGAGAGGAAAAATAAATTATGATGATGAAGACAAAAGAAAGAAAAAAACAAGCAAATAGGAGAAAACATACTCTTGCTGTTGCTTCTGAAGCTTCTCTTTCTCTTCCTCCTCAATTTTGCTCTGAATATTAACCCTCTAAAATACATATTGAACATTCCATTAGTCTCACCCCAATAGTAATATATAGTATAAAAACATGGTCACGGTATACTTACCACCAAAAAAGTTTACCACATTTACCGCCAACGTAATCACCGTTGATTTCCGTTAATCTAACGGTTATAATTTATTAGGAATTAATAATTATTAATAAATGCGATCCAATAATTCTCAATAACTCAGAACCGTTAGATTGACAGAAATCAATGGTGATTAAGTTAGTTGTAAAGGTTCTAAACTTTTTTTTGGCAATAAGTATATCCTTCCCCTAAAAACATATCATCAATAAAAGGAAATGGTGCTATAAAGCTCTCACTATCAAACCTACAGGTCACGTGACACAACATGTGACCTAAGATCACGTGGCGACAACACTTAACCGTCATGCTTCATGTTAGGGATAAGATAATGATAATAAGATAAAAAAGCAGACATATGCAATGGTTACCTTCTCTACATACTGCTCTCTGGTGACGAGACCAACAGTTTCCTTCTTAAACGCAGTCTCTAGAATCTGAAACATAACATTATTCATTGATTAGAAAAAAAGGGATTGTATTTGTATTTGTATTTGTATTTTGTATTTGAATTATGTCAACCATGGAGAGAGGTACCTCGGAAGTGCTAGAACCGAATTGAAGGAGACCGGGTTGGCCCTTGGCGGAGGCGGATTTCGTTTTGAGCTCTTGGATTTTGCGCCGCTCAGCTTCTCTCTGCTTCTCCAGCCGTCGGATCCGAACCGCGTCTTGGGCGGTGCCCACGTACCCGTCTCCCATGCCCGACATCTCTCTCTCTCTCTCTGAATCAAATCAGAATCCCAAATACAAAATGCAAAGGGTTAAATGGTTTGTGAATGATGATGTCGATGTAGATGTGTTTGTGGATCGGTCACTACTCACTGGTGCAAGTTGGTTTTTCATCATAGGCTTGGGCTTGGGCTTTCGTTTCATTTGCTATATTCGGCCCAAAATAACATCAAAAGACCCACCCTCAACCCAAAAGAGAAAGAAAGCTTATGAGAGCGAATTGTTCATTCCTATTTCCTACTTAACCCAACTAAACGTCTCTTTCCTTCGTCAAATAATGATACTTTAGTTGGCATATTGAGCAATGGTAGCATATATCTAATTCTTCCCAATACCTCTTTAGGAGGAGTTGAAAGTCTTAATTACGACACTGGCCCATAATCAAACTAGTTGCGAAACGATGGACCGGTTGAAATATTTAAAAAATAAATAAAAAAATATTTCTTTCCTTCAAGTCAATACTTCGATGCCACAACAATGTCGTCGAGAGGGTACCTTGCCCTAACACATAGCTCATGCTATGTGCCAAAGTCATTTAACTCTCTGTTACTTTAAGGACTTAGAGATTAGGGGTGTTCATCAACCGATCCAAACCGATTCAAACCGCGAAAACCGAACCGAAAAATCGATAATCGAATAAACCGAAAACTGAAAAATTGAAAACCGAAAGAAAACCGCAAATTTTAATTGGATTGGATCGGTTTTCGGATGGGTTGATGAAAACCGATCCAATCCAAACCGATCCAATATATTAAATATTCTCTACCTACTTGTCATTTCTCCAATCATAGCCCAAAAATTTCTAAACTCAAGACCCATTAACTCATCAACTAAACCCAAAAAAAAAACTTAGTCATGTCTCATCAATTATGGTATTGTTTACTGATATTTTTGTATTTCAATTTTTTTTTTTACAAAGCCAATATATACAAAAGATGTTATTTGCACAATAATCATGAAACTTATTTTAGGATTTTCAAAAAACCGAAAACCGATCCAATCCAAACCGAAAAAAATTGGATTGGATCGGATCGGATTTGAAAAAAAATCTAAACCGAATGGATGATTACATGATCAAACCGAAGGGATTGGATCGGATGAATTTTGCTTCCAAAACCGATCCAATCCAGACCGCGAACACCCCTATTAGAGATAACAAACTAAGTAACCTGTCTTGCTAATTTGTTAACATATTTAAAATGTGATTTTTTTTAAACATTGCATTCCAGTTGATGCAAAGGGTATCAAACGAAAATCAAATAGGTCTAAATATGTCATTAATTAATATTAAAAAAAATTAACTTGATAGGTTAACATGTCTTATAGGAGTTTAACTCATTTTGACAAGCTCTTATTCGCGACGAGTTCAAACGGATTGATAGGTTAGAAATTTCTACCCAACTCGTCATATATGACGGGTCAAATGGGTCAATCCTACAGACTGACTCACATTTTGTCACCTCTATTTAAAACTGTGCTTACTTTCAATTCGTTCTTCCTTCACTGATTTTATATTTTGTCACCTGTTATTTAGGACACATTCAAACAAATTAGCAAGTTGGGAATCTCTAAATGTAAGATAATAACTTAGTTGTTTTGTGTTTATGGCTATTATGTGAGACAAATATTTTCTTTAGGCCATAATGTTATAGTTTCAAGGAGATTATTTTTTAAGATAATAACTTAGTTGTTTTGTGTTTATGGCTATTATGTGAGACAAATATTTTTTTAGGGCCATAATGTTATAGTTTTAAGGAGATTATTTTTTATTCACTTTTGATTTAGCAAAAAAAAAATATTAGCACAAAAAATAAAAGAAACTCGGGACATATAGGGTATGCATGACAACTTTCCCATAATTAATTCTTTTTTAATTTTGTTTCCGGGAATAAAAATGGATAGGGAACTCGTTTGGTAAAATCGATTTATTTTTTTGTTCTCGGGATGAACCGGTTTAATTTTTGTGCTGGGGAACAGAAAAAAGAATAAAAAAATTTCTGCTTTTTTGTTCTCAGGCACAAAATGAGAAACACTTATCTTTCTCAATCACTCTCCACCTCTGCCATCATCATCACCACCACCACTATCCTAACACAACTGTCGCCACCATCGTCGTCGCCGCCATCGTACCACTAGTGTCGTCGTCACCACCCCTCACCACCACGATGCCACCGCCACCGTTACCACCACCTCCACCCATCACTACCACCATGCCACTGTCACCACCATCACAACTACCACTGCCGCCACCACCACCACCACTATCACCGTCACCACCGCCATCAACCACCACCACCATCATCGCAACCACTGCTGTCACCGCCACCATCGCCATTAGGGGTGGCAATATGGGTTGAGCCCGGCGGGTCAACCCGCTAACCCGTCAAAACGGGGCGAGTTGGGTTGAGATTTTCAACCCACCTCAACCCGCCCCGCCTAGAAGTGGGTCAAAACGGGTTCAACCCGCTGCGGGGCGGGTTGACCCGCCGGGTTTTAAATTTTTTTTTTATTATTTTTTTATAATTATGTAGTATTTCATTAGTACTTAAATTTTTGTAATATTCAATTTTTTTTATCTTAGTACTTTCTAGAAAAAATAAAGAATAACAATTTTATTTATGACAAATGTTATCTATTTATAATTTCTTAAAGAATGTTGACAAATATTAGTATACATTTAAGATTGAGACTAAAAAAAATATAGAGAAGTGTGGAATAAAATAAAATAATATTAGAAAAATTCATAAAATATAATTTATTTTTGAATTTTAATTAAAAATTTTTTAATTGGCGGGTTGACCCGCCAACCCACCATAAAACGGGGTAGGTTCATTTTTACAACCCATATTTTTTGGCTGGTCAACTCGCCCCGCCCCGTTTTTGGCGGGTTGGTGGCGGGGCGGGGCGGGTCAACCCAAATTGCCACCCCTAATCGCCATCACACACCATTGTCACCATCGCCGTCGCAGCCACCACCACCATCGTCACAACCATTACTGTCTCCACCACCACCATCGTCACAACCATTACTGTCACCACCACCACCATTACACCATCGCCGCCACTACCATCTCCACGCCATTGCCACCGCCACCATCACCACCACCATTGTCACCTACACCCACCGCCGCAGTCACTGCCACCACCACCATGATGCCTTCACAACCACCACCACCATGCCACTGTTATCATTGTTGCCGCCACCAACCACCATACCTACCACCATTGTCGCAGCCACTGTCGTCACCTCCACCACCACCATCTCCACCACTACCACCGCCATCGCTGCAGCCACTGTCATAACAACCACCACCACTATCTTCACCATGTCACTGCCACCACCATTACCGTATCGCCGCCACCACCATCGTACTGCCGCCACCACCACAGCATATGAAAAGAAAAGTGATGATCAAATTTTTTTTTATATTTAATAGAAATTTTTTATATTATATTATTTGTAGTGATACCAAACACAATTCTCATTCTCGGAATAAAAATAGAACATGTTATCAAACATATTCTTTTTCTCAAAAACTGTTCCAAGACACAAAAATAGAAAAGAATTTTCTTTTCAGAAACAGTACTAGAGAATAGAATAGTTGTCATGCACACACGTAACATCCCAAAAGTTGATAAAAGCTAGGAGTAATCTTAAATGCAAAAAGATACGAGGCTCAGACAAACAGCCGCTCCTGGCTTCAAGCTGGGGTAAATGAATTAATACGTAATTTAAAAGTTTTATCTATGACTTAACGCAATGATGTTGTTAACGAAATGGAAAAAAATTCAAATTAAATTAGGCATAATGTATGACGCATTAAAATTAAACTCAACTATTTGTATGCTTTAAAATGTAGTAGTAGCACATAGTTAAATGCTACCAAGTGTCAGTTTCTCATGGTTTAGTATCTTCGTATTTTAAGAAGTTAAATTTATGTAAGGGATGTCATGATTGATATTTATTTTTATTTTTCTCTTTATCTCAGTACAGTAGAAAATTCAGTGAAACGGAAAGTTTTGGAATATTTTTTTTTTTTTTGGAGGTTGAATATTCTTTTATTTCATTCGAAATATGAAAGTTTTTCAAATATAGCAACTAATTAGCGTAGGCGCATGCGCATCAACAATCAAAGCTTGAATTCTTTTGACAAATGGCAATGATGCTAACCTTGGTGGTTATATCGTGTAAAATCCTATTTGGATTTGTTTTAGAATTGAAATCTCACGGGCAAGAACATGTTACATATAAGGGAAATCATTATCTCCTTCTACGTAAGATAAGAACTTTTTCCTACACAAATTCATTTTCTGTGCCAATTAATTTTTCTTTTCTTTTTTAATTTAAAATGTGAGACCCACAATTAACTTATCTCTATTTTTTTTCTCTATGCACCCTACATGTAACTCAAAAAACAAAAACAGGTAGTTCAAAAAATTAATGGTATTTGCAAATTGATGCGAAGGAGAAAGAAAAAAAAAAAAAACAAAAACACAGATCTTCGATGACGAAGGTGCACTGCATATGATCACTCCTTTACAGTTACAGCACCTCTAGTCGCCTGTTACACATGGTACAGTAGTATTTACGCTTGATCTTATAGCACAAGGGTAAAAAACAGAACCTCCACTGACTCTCTACGTCAATAGCTTGAACCATCCCTCCACAGTAAGGACACGCGCCTGGTGCTGGTTGCCTCGCCAGCACCTTTTCATCCTCGTCGCACACAAACACCAAACACATCTTTTATAAACTCTCTGTTTCAATTAGGAAGGTACTAGGTACAAATGCTACCTTATGTTTTGATTGCTCTGCTTTGAGGGTCTTGGTTTGTATCCGAGGCCGAAACAAAATTCACTCTATATTTGCTTGAGTTTTAGATTGTGTGGTTATTTATAGAATGAGGCAAAGAGAATGAATGAAGAAAATCCAAGAAGGGCAAAAGGAACGCGTGAGCTCACGGCGTGTATGTCTCTGGAAGATAAAGAAAGTGACCGTCAAGCACAGAGCGCGTATCTAGAATATTCTAGATATGCCTTAACGCTAGTGCAGCATGCATTTCACGCCGTCAACAGTTGATGCTAGCATCAATACATTTTTTCTTTTTTTTGGGTACATACATCAATACGTTTATTTTACATGATGTTATGTTCAAGTCGACGAATGGGCCCACCTAAGTGTTGTCATAGTTCATTGGCCCATTAAGTAGCCCAATGGACCCAACCTCGTATCCACCACGCCCCTATCTATTGTGATTCTGATGTGAGTTGTTACAGATTACAGATTACAGAGATAAGTTTTTTCATATTCGAATTCCATGGCGAATGATTAAAGAAGAAGCCTTAGCCAACGTTTTGTTGAACCATAAAAAATGCTTCGGATTCACATTTTCTCTTCACTCATTAATACTCCACTCCACGCAAAGCCACTTCATTCCTCGTATATCCCTCTTTCTTCTTCTGCTCCAATACGGCGTCGTTTGGTGAGAACCGCCACTCCTTCTAAAACAAATCTCAAGCATCTCACTTCGCGCATAGTTCAACTCACTCGCCGAAGACAGCTTCACCAGGTAAACAAAAAATACGAGAAGAAGAAGAATGTTTGAATACAAATAGAAAACACTGATTTGTTTTTAATTTTTTTTTTATCTTTTACGGTTCAGATTTTGGATGAGGTTGAGGTTGCAAAGAAACGTTTCGGGAAGCTGAACACGATAGTGATGAACGCGGTCATGGAGGCTTGTGTTCATTGCGGTGACATCGTTTCAGCTCTGAGGATATTCCACGAGATGAAAAACCCCAAGGGTTGTGGTGTGGATACTGTCACGTATGCTACGCTTTTGAAGGTATTCGGAGGATGTACATGATTTTCGAAATTCCTTTTTTCTTTCCAATTTTTTTTAAGTATTGTGGTTGTAGAAATGATGAAGTAACCGGATGATACTCTGATACTAAGGTATCTTTGGATGGTGGAGTAGAGTAAATTTTTCATTTTAAGAAAATATTATATTATTTGAGAATTTTCTTAAAATGAAAGGAATTAAAGGAGATATTAGCATGTAACCTCCAATTATCTTTATTTTAATTTATTTTGTTTATAATCATTATATGACTTCGATTCCAAAAATGAAAAATTAAACCTCTATATCCTTTTTTTCTGAACCTTTGTAACCAAACGTACCCCTATAGTCTCACAGATGGTCTCGTTCTCTATCTAACAATTCAATGCTGTATGCATTTTAATTATCTGTTATGTCTGAGCTTCATTGGAATTTTATTTTAAATGTTATATGAAGGGGTTAGGTGAGGCAAGAAGAATCGATGAAGCTTTTCAAGTGCTTGAATCTGTGGAAAATGGTACTGCAATGGGAAGTCCAAAGTTGTCAGCTCCACTGATCTTTGGTCTGCTCAATGCCTTAGTTGAAACAGGTGAGTCGGACAGTTTGGTCTGCATGTAACATACAACTTCTTTACTGGAACAGTAGATAAATCTAGGGTATGAACAACCGGTCATTGGTATCAACTCTATCTGGGTGTTACCTGAATTGTTGTTATTGACTTGTCGATCTATTCTGTTTGCCTCAGTATCTATGTTGTTAAATTTTTTCTTGTCTGGGAATTTCTAGCTTTGGAAAGTATATATTTCTTATTTTGTTATGATCTTTTTGTGTGAGCCAAGTTTGCTTTTGGTGTCTCTAGTTTTCACTATTGCGCTGCATACTCATTACTCATACATGTGCAACTGAATGTAATAGCTGAAGATGTAAGATGTTAATGCTTGATTAAAATTTTATCGATTTTCAATTTTTAAGGTGCTAGACTTTGTTATTTGTTTTGGTTCGAGTTTATCAAGAGATTTTTAAAACTTCATGTTGACTGGTGATGTTTTACTTGCAATGCTATAGTGCAGGAGACTTGCATCGTGCAAATGGCCTCCTTGCACGTTATGGTTTTGTGCTTCGTGAAGGTGGGAAATTTTCAGTCTCAGTATACAACATATTAATGAAGGTTTTGCTCTGATCCATGATCTTGTAAGAGAGAAAATTTCATTATGAATAGCATGTTCCAGTAGTAGGGATTGCAAGTATTAGTCTTAACATAATTTAATTATGAATGCTTCCTTTTTCTATATTTAGGGGTATATAAACTCAGGCTGTCCACACACTGCAATAAACATGCTCAATGAAATTTTACATCACGGAATAATGCCCAACAGGCTCACGTATAACACACTAATTTTAGCATGTGTTAAGAGTGAAAAGTTGGATGCTGCAATGCAATTTTTTGAGGAAATGAAGGTAATAAGGTGCATTTGAAATTTAAGTTCAATGTTTCTAGAAAAAATATGATTTTTTTTTTTGAAATTTCAACCTTTGATATTTACAGGACAAAGCACAGAAATTCACGTATGATGATCTGTTTCCAGATATTGTTACATATACAACATTGCTCAAGGTCAGATTTCACAAATTTGTTTACTTGTATTATTAATTTACTATAGTATGAAACTATAACAACTTAATTCAATTTCGTTTCATCCTAAAGAATTTTTTGATGGTTAGCTTCTGGAGTTATTTTCACTGATTTCAGGTGCTTCCAGTTGTTTTATTTTAGTGGACATTTATGTTCACTTATATTTTAAATAGTCATGCAACAGATATGCTTTGAACATTTGTTTTAAATGAATTTAGTTATGGCGTCTATTATAATTTATATTGTTGGTTTAGGTTTTGGAGGGTTCTTTAGCAGCATCTATCTCTTTAATGTAGGGTTTTGGGCAGTCGAAGGATCTCGCTTCAGTTTTGAAAATTGTGCTGGAAATGAAATCATGTCATGAGTTATACATCGATAGAACTGCTTACACTGCAATAGCTGATGCTTTACTAAAATGCGGCTCAGTTAAGGGTACGCTTTCATTTGATTCAGAGTTTTGTTTGTCGCAGAGAGGTAGTTTTAGAAATAATTGAAAAAATAAACAAGTTATTGTAGTTGGAATAAGATTTCCTGTTTTTTTTTTTTGGACTGATGGAATAAGATATTCCTGAGGAGTGCTAATAATAAAAATTATGCCTCTGGAATTAATGGGTTCTTCTTAAATATTCAAATATTAATCAACTACTGCTGTGCATATTACGTTTTTCTAGGTTGAGTTAACATTATGAATGCCAAATTGTTGCTATAAATTTCAACAATTGTTTAGTTAGAAGTGGAAGAAAAAAGCTTATGGTCATTTTTGCTGAAGGCTTATGCCTGCAATGATAAGTTAAACTTTGAGCCAGTTGAACCACAAAGCAACATAAAAATCTATGCCTTCCCCTTTATAAGTATGTACGAGGCTCAAAAAAGAACAATTAAACAGAAAAAAAAATAAAATAAAAAAAGCTTCTGTTTTTTCTTAATATTTGGAATATGTCAGTAGTCCTGCTTGCTGAACGAATTTCAACTGGTAGTTCGTTCTGCTGCACAGTTTGAGTAGATATTCAGTATTCTTCTCCCCTCTCATAAAACAGTTACTCTTTTTGCTTGTGGTCCATCCTTTTGTTTTATACTTTTATTAATTAAAAAATACTTCCCATTAAACCCCGACTAATGAGGATAAGGGTGAGGACAATCTTTGTAAGTAGCCTTACCCTTGCATTTTTGCAAAGATGTTGTTTTTTGGATTCGAAACTATGACCTTTCAATCACAAAGGAGCAGCTTTACCACTGCTCCAGACTTGCCCTCTTTTATTAACTAATTTATGAATTTGTATTTGTTGCTCTTCAAAATGAATCATCTTTGGGCATTCAGGTGCTCTGTGTATTTTTGGAGAAATACTGAAGCAGGCTGGTTGGAATCCAGAGTTAAAGCCAAAGCCTCATCTCTATCTTTCCATGATGCGTGCCTTTGCTTTTCGAGGAGATTATGATCTAGTTAAAATTTTGCATAAGCGGATTTGGACAGATACTGCAGGATCCATCTTACTAGTTGCCCAAGAAGAAGCTGATCACCTTCTTATGGAAGCGGCACTGAATGCTGGACAGGTATTATTATTGATATTATTATTATTTTTAAAAGTGGCCATTGACTTTTGAGGTGGAAAAGTCTTTTCTTCTATAACTGCTTTGTTATCCCTGCATGGTTATGACTTTTTTCTTAACATTGTTACTTAAAGAGAAAGGATTCCTTTGATGAATCTAGGGTTGGGAGACTCACTAAAGGGTTTTTGCGAAACATAAATGGGTTTGATATTGGGTGTTCATTGGGTATCCACTGGATATGTAATAAATATTTTGGTTGATCCATTAGCCATCCATTCATTAAAACTAACCCAATCCAACAAGTGCATCATTATAATTGGATGGATTGGATTTGATTGGACATGGATGGGCTGATGGATTACGGAAGTTTGGACAGGATCCAACCCAAAATTGCCTTCGTACAAATTGATTAATTATATTCTGGGTGTTATGTAAGAGGGTGGACTTGTAGCAATGATAAAATTGTTCCTATGTGATTGAAAAGTGGTCACGTGTTCCAATCCAGGAAATAGCCTATTTGTAATTATGCAAGAGTAAAATTGCGTACAAGGATTGCCCTCACCCAACCCTCGCTAGTCGGGGGTTTTAATATGGAGTGATTTTTTTTTTTTATATTCTTGTTGTTATGGAAAACAAAAAAATAAGATGGGCATTAGGGAGGCCTAGTAGGATAAAAGATCAGATTATCTATCACATATGTAGGATAATCCCTAATAATCTGTTTATTTTTATGATTTTTCTACATGATATGTCAGATTTTTGGCTTTCTTCTTGCTTTAGAAATTGATTGTTATGGGTAATAATGTTTGTAGCATATTTGATTGAGTGCAGCAGAACCTGGTTGCTAAATTCATTCTTCACTTAGCACTTTCTTTTTTCTTAAAAAAAAATTCTTTTAACTTAATTTTCTTTTGCTTCTAATTTTCAACAGTTTGATTTGCATTGGGAAGTTAATAAATCACAACTTTTTGACATTTTCTGCACCTATGTTTCTTTGCCAGGTTGATGTTGCTATTAAAACTCTTATTGATATTGTTTCAAGATGGAAGGGCATATCCTGGACAAGTCGTGGAGGCATGGTGTGTAACATAGTAGTCCATGAATAATGTTGGTTTGAATAGGTCCTACTTTTAAATATTCATGTGTTAACCTTGATTTGCATATCTAGTCTGTTTCTTATCATATTAAAGTTTTGGAGCAGCTGGTACTTCAACTGACATTGTGGTGTCTGTTTTTTAAGAATACAAAGAAAGTTTCCTTTGCCTGGCTGTGGCTCTTTGCAAGCTTTTAGTGCATCTTTATATTTCTTTTATAAAGTATAATATTATGATGGATCACATGTAGTAAAAAAAAAAACCTCCCCATGAAATCACGACTTGCGGGTAGGGGTGAGGAAATCCTTTTACTCAACTTTATTCTTGTACTTTTGCAAAGAGGTTGTTTTCTAGATTTGAATCCGTGACCTTCCGGTCACAAAGTAGTAGCTTTATCATTGCACCAAGCTCGCTCTCATATGGATCACATATAGTAAAATTGTCAGGAAGTAAAATTTTCTGAACAGGCTGATTGTCATTTATATGTATTTTTCTATCACTTGTTAGTGCCGTCAGTAATTCAGGTTCTTAACCATTTGCCCATGCTTTTATAATTTAGGTTGCTTCTCGTATTGAGGCCATATTGGGATTCTCAAAGTCTGTATTCAGTCCTTACTTACTTCCTCAGGTACCTACCATATGATTCATTGGCATCCTTTGCACAAGGTGACATTGAGCTATAGTGAATAACAAATATGCTTTACTTGTTTGTATATGCATCTGAAGCTGTGTATGGTTAAAGTTGTTGGGATTCATCTAAAACCTAAAGTTTTTGCAGGTCATGCTTATAAATATATTCGCAATTTCTCACGTTTGTCATCTCTTTGGCCTTTAAGTGACTTTGGTTTTACATTGCATTGTATTTTAGGTAATTCCACCCAGAAATTGCATGTTATTTAATTGTGCGCTGTCTTGGTTTAGGTTTCACCTTCTGAACCGGTTGAGGGTTTCATGATACCATTTGAAGCAACACGACCACTAGAAGGTACCATAAAGCTGAAGAAAGTGGTTATGCGATTCTTTAATGACGCAGTTGTTCCTATTGTAGATGAGTGGGGCAGTTGTACAGGGCTGTTACACCGTGAAGACTGCAATCAGGTAACTTTGGTTAACTCTGCTTGGGAGATCTACTTTGTGAGATTACCATTTCATCAATTAGTATTATATTATTAACATATACATGCAAAATCCTATGGTCTTTAATTGATGAATTTATTTCTTAAGTCATGGACATACGAAAAGCTAATATGATTTTGTGAAATCTGTCTACTTTCTGTCGTGGGCCATTAAGTACCGGTTTGTTTGTATTTGAAAAGTGTTTTTTGATAAAAGATTGTTTAAAAAAATCTATAGTAATTAAATGAGATTTTTTTTTTATTTTGTTTCTAAAACAGGTTCTTTGTTTTCTTCAGAGCTTATCCAAACACTTCCTAAATTTACCCCTTGAATTATAACCTAGAACTAAAGTACTTATCATGTATATGGGTGGGCATGGTAGTTTTTATTGGTTTTTACCTATGAGTTTAGGTACTTTAACAATATCAACATTCACAGCATCTTTATCCCAAACTAGCTGGGATCGGTGGTAGATGAATCCAAATGAAAAGTAAAAAAAGATTGAGGGAAAAAAGGATAAAAAGAAAATTTAAAAATGTGTGTATATATATATAACATTATCTATTAAAAAAATAACAATAAACAATTAAAAGAAAAAACAAAGTGAAAATAAAGATACATCAGAGGTCAAAAAAAAAAAGTAAAATAAAATGAAATAAAAGATAAAGAAATAGAGAGATAAAAAAAATGAAGAAAAAAGAAAATACATAAATAAATAAATAAGAGAAGATTGAGAGGAGAAAAAAAAAATAAATAAAAAAAAGGAGAGGTAAAGAAAGAAATAAAGGGAAAAATGACTAAAAAGGGAATTGAATTGATCTCTTTGGGGTGTTATTGTTAACCCCCTTAGATTACCAAAAAAAGAAGGGGAAAATGACTAAAAAATAACCATTTGGAACATAGGAAGAAAAATGAGTACAAACCTTCACAATGCTAATAGCTTTCCTCCACTCCATCATAAGACACACACTCGCCGATTTACATCCCACTCTATTTAAGTCTTGTTTTACTATCTTCCCCCAAGTAAGTTTTGTTCCACCTCTTCTTTTCTTTGTGTCAAGCTCTTGATAACAAATCTTACAGGAGCATTTAGGTGTCTTCTCATTACGTGCCCAAACCACTTCAATACATGTTCTCTCCTCTTTTCAACCACTAGTACTATTTCTATCTTTCGTAGAATATCTTTATTTCTTATCTTATCCATTCTTATATGACCACACATCCACCTTAACATTCTTATTTCCGCTACTTCCATTTTATGCTCATGTTGCTTATGTGTTGGACAACATTCAGCTCCATATAACATTGCAGGTTTTACTGCTGTTCTATAAAATTTTCATTTTAGCCTAAAGGGAATTTTGCGGTCACACAAAAACCATGATGCTCTACGTCATTTCTTTTAGCTAGAGAGAATTGGCAGATTAGGTTGTATATATGAAATTTCAAAGAAGAAATTTATACAAAATGGTGCTATAGCTCCTTGAGTTATAGGTACTTCACTTGCTATCTACGATTCTACATCCTTTGAGGGCCTGGAGTTGTGGCCAGATTCATAGTATTGCAAATGGTATATGAAGGACAATTTGTCTCGTATAATTGACCTTCTCAACAATAAGAAATGGCACTATAGAAAAATAATTTTTGATGAACTCTTATTAAAACATTATATTCGCAAAGAATATATCCATGGGATCCAGAAACTGTGAGGCATAACGTAATGAGAATCTAGCACCTTGCAGTTGGTAGAACGTGAGGCACCCATTGAGAACACGAGGGAGGACAACTTCAGAAACTGTGGCGTAAGTCCATCTGGTTTCCTAAAGGACCTGTTAGTAGCCACTTTAAAAGGAACCTTGAGATACGGCAACACACTTGCTTGGGTTTCTGGAGGTAATGGTCATAGCTTAAGGATATAGTGGTGAGGGAATATTTGGTGAGGATATAATGGCAAGGCTTTAATGTTTCTACAATGAATACAGATAAATTATCTATTTTCACTCCCAAAACGATGTCGTTTTGAGTTAAAAGATTAAAAAATTATAATGATAAAGACTATTATAACCTTAGAATAAATTATAATTACAAAAACATCTTGATTTTCGTCCCAAAATGACGTCGTTTTGGGCTCAACGAAGATAATTTATCTATATTCACTGCAGAAAAAATGAACCCATTTTTTAATCCCTTTTCCTTATGTTTTTATATATTTTTTATTTCTTTTTCCTCTCTCCATTCTTGCTTTTATGTGAGTTTATCGACCGGATACCAATTAATTTGGGAAAGAGATGCTATTGATGTTTGTATCTCTAACCCTAAAGTGGCCTGGGCTATTTATAATGCTAACAAAGAGGAGAGGCTTTTTGCTGCTTTCTACACGACCGTGTCTTGTGGCAACATAAATTGGACAGCTCTAGTTAGGCACGGTCGTTTGTCCAAGACAGAATTGATTCATCACTAAGACATGCCCATATCTTAGCTGCTAGTCTTGTCTGATTAGGGCACACGACCATGTTTCCTAGATTCATGGCCATGTCCCTTCAAACTTGGCATTTTCTTGCTCCTTTTCACCTGGTTTCGTCTCATTCCTTAACCTGGCAATAATAATGAAAATTTAGTGAAAATCCATAACTATATATGGCCATATTTATTATTAAAATTGTGTACAATTATGACATCATCCAATTCAGCTGTTGATTTAACGGGTTGTCCAAATTGACTCTTGATTCGACAACTCCCTTTGGGTCATTCTACATTCCATGTTTTGAAAGATTGGTGCACCGGCTTCCTGTATGTGCGCTTGTATATCTGCATATTTCTAGCCTGACACACAATAATAGATATCAATACAAATTGATTTACAATCGTTTAATTCATCGGATGTCAATTTCTGCCTTGGCCTCTGATTGTGGGATGAATTTGGTATGCAGTTGGATGCTCCACTTTCAGCAATGATGAGAAGCCCCCCTTCCGTTGTTACGACTTCAACATCTGTAGGTCATGTAGTTGATTTAATTTTGGAGAAACGGTACCCAATGGTTATCATTGTAAATTACAACAACTCATGTGCTACTTCATACAGCTCTAGAGCAGTTGGAGTTTTTACATTAGAACAATTGAATAGGCTTATCACACCTGTATCTGAATTAAAAGGGACAGATCTTTCAGTCTACAGAAGATAATATAACATGTTTAGCCATACCAATATGTCAATTTTTTTTTTAGTTATCTAAAAAAATGCATTGATTTAAAAAAAAAATAAGTTGTTTTTTCTTACTAGGTTGAAAATGAGTTTTTCTTACGATACTGCATATAAACTGGAATTGTCCCTTAATGTTTTGCGCTGCGTGGCTGCATATGATTTATGCAGTCAAGTTTTTTTTAAGATACTAAAGCGATTCATGTATGCAGTTATCTCAGGTTAAATGCATTCTTGAATGGGCAATTGAATGCTCAATTCTAGACAAACCAAATTCTTATACCAATGTTGCTTTCCTATTTATGCATAACCAGTTGAAATGAATACGAATTCTGCATTTTTATAGAAATTGAAGTTTTCAGGACCCGTTTGGATGGTTTATTTTCTCCAAGAAACCTTTTTATTTTTTTTAAATAAAAGTATTTTTCTGTGTGTTTGGATATAACTTTTGAAAAATGTAAAAGTCAGTATAAATGTTTCTTTTGGAATTCTGGATTTCTGATTTTTAAGAAGAGTCAAAATATTGACATTTACTCAAATGTGTTTTTGGTTTTTGTAAAAATTTCTTCTGAAAAACAAAAAACAAAAAACAACTGAATCATTGAAGCATGAGTCTACAACGATTTTTTTGTATACTAAAAGATGTCTTGATACCCGTTGGCATTAAAATCAATCTTCATTCGAATGTCTAATGGTTTTGCCAACCCGGTCCAATCCGTAAAAAATGGGTCGGGTTAGGGTTAGCTCGAAAAAATAAACGAGTCAGAAAATCTAACCTAGCCCGACCCGAGCCGGGTTAGGGTTGATTCGCGGGTTGGCTCGGAATAAAGCTCGTGGGTTGGTTCAAAAAAAGCTCGCGGGTTAGCTCGAAATGATGCCAGTGGGTTGGCTCGCGGGTTGGTTAGCTCAAAATATTGGCTCACGGGTTGGCTCAAAAAAATTGATTTTTGTGGAACTAGTCTTATTTGTTCTCCAACACTGCTAAAATTATCAACACTGCCAAAAGGTTCCAACTTTAATCTCTTCAAAGGTATCCAGATTGGAAAAAGTAAAAAGATTGAAGTAACAAATCTTATAATGTCAATAACATAGAAGAAGAACAATGAATCCATTTTCATATATATATATATATTGGAGAAAAATAAAAAAGAAAGATGAGAAATATAGAGAAAAGGGTATTGCACCTTAGGAGTAGTGGATTGCGTTTGTCAAGAGAATAGGCCAATAGACCGAAGATGCAAGGTTAATGGTAACAGGGTGAACAAGCTATCCAAGGGGGCAGAAGAATCGTAGGGTTAAGGAAAGTGACGAGTGACGGTGATGTGAGCGTATGGCAGTTTTGGAGTTTTTATATTATTTTTTTTAATACAGTCATATATATATTTTTTTGAATTAAAAAAAAATACTCAACCCGCGAGCTGGCCCGTTTGACCCGCGGGCTCGCTCGTTTGGGTCTGGGTTGTATCGAGTCGGGTTGAGTCAGGTTGGCAGCTCATATAGACCAACTCAACCCGACTCATTTAAGACGGGTTACGAGCCAACCCGACGGATTGACTCATTTTTGCCATCCCTATCTAATGGTGTGGCCCTAGCTTTAAGGGGCAGTTAGTCAGATTTAAATTTCTGTATGACTGATTGCATTGCAGTCACCAAAAAGAATATAGTTTAAGGGGGTCATACTATTCATGTACCTCAGCGTGATGTATTTGTTAATTCATATTATTTATCCTTCCATATACTTTTTAATAGGTCTATTTTATTTTTTGTACCATTGTAGCTATAAACAATATTGAAATTGTGCAATTCATGTAAGCCAAGAAAATCAAATCAAGTGAGTTTTATAAGACTCAGAGAGGTCCTTCCTGTACTATATCTCCTTCAATAATAACTCTCTAAAAAAAAAAAAAAAAAAATCTTACACAGAATTGCAATGTCAAATTATAACAGCTAATAGCTACGCGTTGTGAATCAAACACAAGTTTCTAATTCCTGCAGCGTGTGAAGAATAAACTGACCAATGTAATCCAAAAAAAAGAAAATAATAAACTGACCAAAGACTGAATAAAATACGTACGTCACAATGTTAACGAAAACCGGTTAATAAATCAACTATTCGTGAAAATTAACGAAGTTTGAAGGCAACACTTCCTTTCAAGCTAGCAAGAAAAAACATCATATATAATAACTTCTTTACGTCTGTTGTTTTGATTATAAGTTCTTTTTCTTCTATTCTTGTTCCCATTTGGAAGGAGTTTGATAATCAATGACAGTTTGAAATGCCCCGGCCAAAGCCCTCACCTTGTTCTTCCTCTCCTCCAAAAGCTTGCTTGCAGTCTCTTCGATCACATCATTTGATACCTGAGACTCTTTCTTACCTTTTCCCCCTGTTGTTAATTGTTTCTTTGATGATGTTGCTTCAGCCTTCACCTCTTCAACTCTTTCACTCACTCCTTCTTCAACTGCTTCCTTCTTTTCCATTGCCTCATCCTTGTTCTTGTTCTCACTTTTGTGTATAACCCCACCTTCATGTTCTTCTTTTTCATTGATGGCAACTTCTTCTTCAGCTGCAGAATGGTCTTCTATTTGACTTTCATTACTTTTGCTTTCACCTTGGTTTGTGTTCTCTTCCTCTTTATGTTCATCTTCAGCTGCAGAATGCTCTTCTATTTGACTCTCATTACTTTTGCTTTCACCTTGGTTTGTGTTCTCTTCCTCTTTATGTTCATCTTCAGCTTTTTCGCCTTGTGGCTCTTTCTCTGCTTCTTCTTCTGACACTGTAGAAATGATCTTCTCATTATCAGCTTGATTATGATGTATATCAGACTCCTCAAGCACATGACCACGTTCAAGCTCACATTCAGTGTGAACATGAGGTGACAGTGAAACCTCAGATACATGTTCAATCTCGTGTTCTTCTTCATTTTCTACCTTTATTACTTCAACTTCTTGATTTGTAACTTCTTTAACTTCCTCAGTTTCAATATCTGACGCTTCTGTAGTGCTCTTTGCAGCGTTTGTTGAGTCAGCAGAAGCATGATCATTAGCTACCTTCTTCTTAGTGCTGGTAGGAGTAGAAAGACTAGGGGTGCTCTTCTTTGCACTTTTTGCAAACAGTGTCCTAGGTTTTACATCACTGGGAGTCTTTGAGGTCCTATCTGAAATGGGTTTTGAAAGGTTATTGCTTTTAAGTGCAACATTGGAAGATCGAAGTGGTATAGGTGACACAAGGGCTTTGTGTAGTCTTGAAAGAGAAGGGTGATTTTGTTTTGTTGAGTTTGGAGATGATAGTGGTTTGTCCAAAGATCTTCTTCTGTTTGGAGGTGGTTTTTTGGTAGCATCACTCTTGGGCTGGTCAAGGCTTGAGCTTATTGTAGGTTTGAGATAGTTGGGGATGTTTTTCTCTGATGGGCTTGTGTTAGCCTTAGTAGTGGAGCTAGTTGTTGCTGTGGATGGTTTATTGGTCCTTTTGGTGCTTGTGACGTGAGAATTTGAAGATGGGGCCTTCTTCTCCTTCCCAACTATAGTACTCTCTTTTGCTTTTGTTGCCATATATATAATTTGGTGTCTCAGCTAAGAAATTCTTGAAAAAACCAGAACACTCTGCACACTGCCACAGGAAAAAAAAAAGTAAGCTCATTTGTTGGATAGAGTCTTATGGTGTATATATTATACAATTGGTTAGGAATTAAATCATTGTAATTAATAGTAACACTAATATATGTAGAGAATATGTATGGATTGTTATATGGGCAAGTTATTCCTATATGAGTATGAGAATAACACTAATTAAATCATTTTCTCTGCTCTTTCACAACACTTGGAAGTTGTTCGTTAACAAATTATGGCCAATGATGATAGTCCCACATTTTCTCAAACCATTCAATGGCTGTTTAACACCTCTGATATGACAACATTTGCATCTAGTTCTCCATCTATGTATGAACTGTTTTAGATGCCCAATTTTATTCTCTATGTTTAAGTGGTGCTAAGGAGTAATAAACAATTATCTATATCAATATACCAAGACACATTCAACTGTGCGCTAGGGAAATTGAAATCTTTATTGCAGCATTATACAAGTTTTATTTTACTTTATTTTCTTATATTACATGTCTCTGTTAGTTCTTGTAAGTAATTTGTGGTGAATATGTACCCAGAAAAAAAAGAAGAAAGAAATTGTTTTTGTTCAAAAAACAAAAGCTTATACCAACTCCTTAAAAAAAATTAAAATTAAAATAAAAAAAGCTCCCCAAAACTAAGAAGGTACATTGTGGGACATCTAAGCCCAATAATGAGTATCCCTAATTTATTCTCAAACCCTCTTTATTAAATATCCTAGTGTTTAAATGAGTTGCAAGGAAAAGGAAGAAAAAGGTATACCTAAAGAAAACTTAAAACAGATCAAAAAAGAAGAAGCAAAGACACCTAAAAGTACTTATGAAATGATCATGATCATCACCTATAAATACTTTTTTTTTTTAAAAAAAAAAATGTGTTCCTTTGTTATGCAAAAAAAGAAGAGAAGAAAAGCAACCAAGAGACATGTGACACAATGATATGTACTTCCACTTCTTTCGAAGGACAAAGATAAAGCGATTCAGGAACTTAATTGATACCAAATAAACTTAGATACTGAAAAAAGCAAAATAAAAAAGGAAGCGTAAATTTACAAGGATAAGGATCACGTTTAGTTAACGTACCTTGATAAAAGAAAGTTCATGGAAGAGTGAATTTGTGGGCACATAGCAAATAAAAGTGCTTTGGAATGTGAAAATATATGAGGAAAAGAAAAAGATTTGTTGGAAGAGAAAAAACAGAAAAGGGGTTTGGGGAGGCTTAATAATATCATAAAAGAAGCGCAAATTAAGCACAAACTCAAAGGAGATGTAGTGCAGGCCATGAATCTTAACAAATAATTCGTTTCATATTTTTATCAAACTATGTGTGAATTACCGAGACATATGGGATGCATAGTTGACCTTTTCCTTTTATGTTCTAGACATTAAAAAATAATAATTTTATGTTTTTTTTTTCTTGAGCATATAATTTTTCTTCTATTTTGTTAATGGGAAAAATATTTCTGCAGTTAATGCAGATAAGTTATTTGCATTTATTCTCAAAACGACGTCGTTTTAGTATTGAAATCTTAAAAAATTATAAATATAAAGATTGTTATAACCCTGAAATAAATTAAGATTACAAAACACCATGATTTTTGTCTCACAACGACGTCGTATTGGACTTACTGCAAATAACTTATCTCGCATAAAAAATGAAACCTTTTTAATTAGTTTTCTTTGTTATTAAAGTTTATAACATATAGCGGATACCCAGCTCAATTGTGGGCCAAGACCAACTGGGAAATCATGCAACGTGGACGCCTGCCTAATTCATCGGATTCGTAAGGCTATAGAGGGTTGGTGATCTTCTTGGCATTTGGAAAAAATAACATACAAATCGATTTGTACTACATGGGTGGCGAAGTCAGAAAATTTTGTATAGGAATGAAATTATAAATATATTTCTTTTGGTAAGATATAACAATTTATATGATTAGAAAAACAGAGATGAAGCTAATACATAAAGGCTTGTATGAGTCTGAAAGGAAACTATTATTATCTATTGTTCTGTTGGATTAAAAGGGATGGAAGTGGAGCACCACCATCTAATATATGGACGAATTGGCAAGGTTGTTTCAATGGTTTCAATTTTCAAATTTGAATTTTAGATATACAGTTATGTTAAAAGTTTGGTAAAGAGAGCTTTATTGCTTATATAATCCTAATCGATGAATTGATAGAGAAATCTTTAAAATAATAAAAATGATACACTTGTGTGAAGACCATGACATTTGTGTCAATACGAAATCAAGGTGAAATATGCAATTAGAATTAAATATTGGAATATTAATTTCTCTTAACCTTATGGGTGATAATTATCACCAATAAACCAAGATATATCATACCAAATCATAAAAAAATATTAACAGAAAGGTGAAGGAAGACATACCTATCTCTGTAGAAGCAGAATAACTTTGATCTTCTCTTTTGGAGGAGTATGCGATTTTTCTCAGTCAAATAGTCATAGTTCTTATTTTTTTAGTATGTTGTTTTTCTCTCTCTTGATGGGGAAGAGAAATTAGAGTTCATTCGATGTATTGAGAGACCATAACCTTTTATAGTATTTTTCTTTATTGTTGGGCCAATAAACTCCTATTATACCTAGTTGGCCCAACACTGATATCCACTTATGTGTCTTATATTTACTTAAAATATTTGGATATCTTTATTTGATCACTTTAATTTATCCAATATATATTAAATAACATAATATAATTATTGATACAATATATAGTCCACAAATATATTAAAAAATATAATTTCCTAATATTAAATATATACCTAAGAATGGAAACCCTGTAATTATAACAATTCAGGAATGGTGAAGGTTATCAATAAAATATTGACATAAATGATTATTTGTAGAAGATTCCGATAATGTGGGACCATTAATTCTGATATTGTGAAGGGAGTATTGAGCTGTTGACTAGAGCTAGCTAAGCTAATCCCACAATACAATACGAGACTTAAGGATTTGTTTGGTGTGACGTATAAAACATGATAGTATAAGTTTATATTATATGTTATGACATTTTCAGCTGTTTGGTGTGACCATTGTATAGTATAAGCTTATACATCATAATCCCTTAATACATCAAAACAATGTATAACTTATTCCGGCCTAAGGGTGAGGGATAAGGCCTGATAAGAGATTGATGTATTAATATCGTTGACCAATGTAATTCTCAAAAATTAATATATTATTTTAATATTAATCTACTAAAATAAAAATTGATTTTTCAATATATTAATTTTTAAAATATTGAATATTTTTACTTTTATAAAAATTAATTTATATTTTGGACACACTGATCAATAAATTTTATAAAAATAATATCATATGACATTTTTTGAAGAATTATATAAATTTTTTATTAAAGGATATTTTTATTAAAAATATTTATTTTTAACATATATAGTATTATATAATGCATTACCAAATACTAGATGATATTATCTTATACAATATATTATATGCCAAACACTGAATAGTATTAAAATTCAATCAGACCTTATACTATCAGGTCTTATACTATTAGACCTTATCTTATACTATATACCAAACACGTCCTTACCCTTAACGCCAAAATAGCACTCCATACTCCAATCATAAACTGCGTGGCCTGTGAACACGACCAAACATAGTGGAGAAAGACAACTTGCCCATTATTATTTGGTTTGGTTTATTTATATATCGTTGAATATGCATTGGACGCACCGAGATTGAGTGGTAGCACCCATATATTCATTTCCTCATGCTTCTCACGTACGTTGAATATTTGTTATATTCTAATTGTTTAATTAATTTAAAATATATTTTAATAATTATAATCAATTTAATATTAATTTAATTGATATATTTTATTGTCTTAAAATTACTAATGAGCTGATTGTTTGAGATTTTAAAATAATATTTATTCTGATTTGAAATAATATTCAAAATAATTGAAGATTGCATGAAGATTAAAGAAGATATCATGAAGAGAGAGAAAAGCATGGGATCAAGTAAAGTTCATCTGGGACCAACAACATACAATTGCTTTTTTTTTTTTTTTGAAATATTTCAATGGGTTCATAGTTTCATTACTAGTCTGATTCAAGATGGGTAGCAGGATTAAGGTTTTAAATCTCTCTCAAATATATTATTGGAGAAGATCGAACACATGCTCTCATTTTACTTGCTCAGTTCCTGACACCAACTAAACTACCATTGTCTAATCCCACGTGCAATTGTTAATCAACTTATGACACTGCGTAATAGCCAGCGTATCCCTAAAATTTAGCATGCAAAGTTGCAAACAACACTTAAAAATAAAAAACAAAGATTATTTTTACTTTAGCTTTCATCATATTCTTATAGATTTCATCGTCACAAGCTTTCCAGAGACTTTTCGCAAGAATTATTAACCAACATCTTAATTTCACTTTATAATGAATGATTCTATCTTAAAATCTATGAAAAACTTATAAAAATAAAACCTTTACAAATATTATTACTCGAAATAAAGAATAGCGCAAAGAAGCATAGGGTTACATGACTTATTATCACCAAGGGGCAGAGATGGACGTGGATGTGAAGGAGGAAGAACTGGTGACATCCCCTCATTGTACCACACTTGGCTCACATCAAAGGCCATTCAATGTTTATATATTGTGGTCTTCCTTTATTTATTTATTTATTAGCCTCTGAACTCAGATTTTTTGTTATAAACTATCATAAACGTTGGTGTGTAGAAATTATAAATTGAGAATAAGCTAGAAATTATAAACTAGTATTGATGAGATTTGATTACAAGATAAAAAAAAAAAAACTCAAAATGCCCTCGATCGGAAGCACCTTTTTTTTTTTTAATGTCATTATCGAAATGATGTATGTGTAGTGTTTAGTTATTTTCTATTCATTTTGATGCTTCTTCTGCTATCAAATTA